AAAAAAAAGAACAAGAATATATATGCTCTCTTTTTTAGATTTATAAGAAAATGGTTGATAAACATCGACCTTGTACTACGCTAACATGTTCTGTTAACTTTAGCTTAAGATCTTAATTATCTACGTTTTGTTTTGTTTAAACTTCCCTTGTCAGATTATTCTTCATCCCACATATTGACAGGCTATTTGCTTAAAGTATCTACACCCAGATACCGAGCTAGAAAACTATGCTCTTCAGGTTATGGATATGCTTCGGCCCGATACATCCATTGATGCTCAAGCACTGGTATGCTGTGCAAAAATGTGGTTTTATATGATATTATATGCGCATTTATGATGATAAAAATAGCTTCAGGTTTGATTACTTGTGATATGCATTGAAATTGTAATGACATATCCTTAACTTCTGTATGTAGGCTGAGTAGAATTTCAAGCAAAAGGTGCCATAAAAGTAGGATTTAGATATAACTCATTAACTTGAAATGTGATATTAATTGAGTCTGACCCTACCGCCATTAAAATGATTATTAATAGATGGCAGTTTATTTGTAAACCATCATTGTTTATGCCAAACGATTAACTGGCTGAGATGTAGCAACTTATTCTGTTGATAAAAGAATGTAACAAGGTTTGAAGTGAACATGGAACCATAAGGCTGGATTAGATACTTATTTAGGAAGAAAATAATTGTCCTATCCTGGGATACTTCTTCAATGGTGAAAAAAACATCTTACGATAAATGATGCGATCATACTGTAGTTGTTTGCTGAATCATTTCTTCTTAAATAATTTTTTTCTCAGGATCCTTCTTTTTTTTTTTTTTTTTTTTTTTTTTTTTTTTTTTTTTTTCTTTCTTTTTTTTTTTTTTTTTTTTTTTTTTTTTTTTTTTTCCAAAAACGTATAAAAAGTTGGCTTTTCAAGTCATTAACAAGTGATTGTTATCAATATTCAATAATTGCAATCAAGATAATGTAGTAGACAGCAGTAATCACATGATACAATACGCGTTTCCCTTGGTCTTGGTGTTACGCATTGGCACAAAATGCAGTTCGACAACTTTCTTTTTGCTTTCACATATGCTGTGAACAAGCTTACTGATCATTCTGGTTTAGATTTTCACTGTTTTGTTCCTCTCTGATTCTAGGCGTTTCTGGTAAACAAGAAATTAAGGTGTTTTATTGCATGTCATTGCCAATTTGTATTAAGAGAATTCTCTTCTGTATATGGTCAATTTGTTTCGTTTAGTGGAAGGGCTTATGGCGTGTGCAGTGTGCTTCTTCTTTATGTGTGATTCACTTGGCAAACCAAATTCATGGTTGCTTCAACTCTTTTTACTATGGTTCTGCTCCTTATGAGGCCCGGTCGTAAAAAATTGTAGGTCCTGGGCCAAATGAGTAAATAGTGCCCATATTTTTTTTATTAAAAAAGAATCATAAACAATTTATTATATTATAGAAAAAATATTGAAGATTATTATAGCATTATAAAATTTTATATAAAAACTGACAATAACTTAACAAAAAATATAGTAATAAATTATGTCCAGTCCCTGTATATGAAAAAGACGACAAACTATAAACAAGGTTTTAAACACTTTTTCACTTTAGCCATATGTTTTATTTTATTGTAAACTTGGATAGTCAACTCTTTAATTGTAAAAATGCTAAATAATATCATTTTTAAAATATATATATAATAACCAAATAATAAACAAATTGGAACTCGCATTTAATATGGATACTCGATGTCCTATAATGACTCTCACTTCACACAAGTAACATTTTGCATATTCAAGTAAGAAGTTAAAAAATATTTTTATCAATCGAATAAAAAATGATTGAACAAGATATATAAAAAAATATTCGTTTAATTATCAATTATTATAAATTAATTTCATCATGAGAACTTCACATACAAAAAGAAAACCCTATTTAGTTGTGTGGAAATTAAGGGAAAAAGTTAACTCATTTTATAACAAATTTATACTAAAATGTTATTTTCTTTAAAAATCTCTAATAATTTTTGTCCTCAGAACTTGTGGGCCCTGGGCAATCTGGCCCTGCCCCTAGGGCCGGATCTGCTTCTGATCCTCTATAAGTAGAAGTTTTTATTGCATACCATGTACGCTTTTATAAAGTCAGGTTCCTTATATATTTCTCCTTCTTTTCAAGGCTTGTGTGCTATACATTATGCGAGTCGGTATAACTGATCAAATGAGTGAACCAACTCAGAGAAGCTTTTCTGTCTTTCTTGCGAAACAGGTTCACTTCATCTTCCAACTTGAGGTTCATTACTTTTAATGGCTTTTTCGGCTTTTGCAAACTAGTGTTGCTGACATTCAATGACTTCTTCTGCAGCTTTTACCTTCTGATTCCACTCCATTCATGCGAGTAGTGGCATTAAGAACTCTGTCATATGTTTTGAAAACACTTGGAGAGGTAAAGTTGTTTTGTGGGTCTCTTGATTGAGCTTGTGTACTCGTAACGTATAATTCACAATCTTAGACATCTTCGTGCAGCATGCATATATATATATATATATATATATAAATGTGGAGTGTTGATATTCTCAATATTGTTATGGTTAATATAGTATGACCCTATTGTTGTTGTCGTTCCATCCGAACCGTACTCCCAAACCATACTGAGGGTATTTGGAGGAGCATTAGAGATAGGTATTTTTAGTAGTAGTATCCAAGTGTTTCCAGATATGAGTAGCAACTGATAGAGTGACGGTGAATTGTTGAAGATTCGCTAAAAAAAGAAAGAAATAGGAAAAAACAAGCAAATGCTTCCCGTCTAAGCCAAATGTTTCTTAATTCTTTTTCTCTATGCCTTAAGAGACCTAAACCCTATTAGTTAAATAAAAACAAATTAGGGTTCTGAAGCAAAACCCCAACCCATCACCTTATTGTATCCCTAACTAAATAATTGAGACCTAAACCCTATTACATAAATAAAAACAAATTAGGGCTCTGAAGCAAAACCCCGACCAATCACCTTATTGTATCCCTAACTAAATAATTAAAATATGTTAATTTAGATCCATTTTTGGTGGCACGGATACTATGGTGGTGCGAATCATGGTTTGGGTTTTGTGAGTTTCCACCGAAACTGGAATCTAAATCTAATGCTTATCACTTATTAATGCAGAAAGTTTAGCCTCGATAGAAAGCTTTGTACATACCTTGTCAAGGGGGAATTATTGAAGGAAATTCAGGGATGAAATACCTCCCTACACATAAACAAGTTTTCGAGCTTTAGTGTCAACTTTTGGTGATTTGTAATCCTATAAGTCAATTTCTGTCGCTCGGTGATCCTATATGTTATTTTTAGTGCTTCGTTGCAGTACACATAGATTTCAATTTATATTTATTCCTATACTTTATAATTACAGAATACCTGGCTAATTTAAATTATAAATATACTTTAGAACTTAATAACTTTTTATTTGTAATTAAGTTTTAGTCCTTTGTTGTTGTAGTACATATAGAAATAAATTTTTGTTCATTAGGATTTAAAATTCTAAATTATTTGGCCAACTTAAATTAGAAATCTATTATAAACTTAATAATTTTTTTATTTGTAATCAGTTTTCATGTATGATATATTGAATTAACTATCTTTTGATTTTTTAATTTGACATCCATACGTCATATATAAAAATAATTATATTTACATCTTAAATGAAAATTAAATTATAAATTGAAAAATAATAAATATATTTATCTGTTATACAGTATGAGTTAAAAGTACTATTATAATATAATACGATCGCCTCTTGTAGTTGAGCCATATCAGTTAAAATAGAATTATTTGAAATTTAAAAATAAAATATAAAATTTTTATATATAAGTTTCTTCAATTAATCCCTATGTATTACTCGGGTGTTGTAATACTCTTTGATGCCTTAAGATACCTAAATCCTACTTCCTAAATAAAAATAAATTAGAGTTCCGAAGCAAAAGCCCAACCCACACCTTATCGTAGCCTTAAAAAATAATCAAAATATTGTAATACACATACAGTCATACACAGAGAGAGAGAGAGAGAAACACGTAGACTTGGATGTTGAGTATGGTTATGATTCTTGAACAATATGGATCTATATCGATTATCGGCACAAGGGACAAGACTAAAGATGTACGAATATAAGATACTTCCCTCAAGTTGGACTATGTGTAGTAAGTGCTGCAAGCTTGTTTGCCATATGCTCAATCCTCCTTGACAACATCCGCTAACCATGTTGGTAAGCTGATCATGTGATCCATTGTCCATTTTCTCATGCATGAAGAAATGACAAACTTGAATAGTTTGATCTTGCCTAAAAAAAAGAGGACCGAATGCAATGTTAATTACCAGACACCTACATTATAGGGCAAAGAGGGTCTGGTCTTACTTGAGGGATTTGGAGGGTGGGGAATGGAAACGGGAAGAAACTGGATGCTTGGTCTATGACTTCTAATCTCCATTTCTAGGGAATACTCCATACCCTCACAAATATGGCAGTATTAAACCTGCCTATCTCTCTTATGAATTCCTATTCCTATTCCTTTATATTACCTGATAAACCTGTTTGAAAAATTTGAGCTTTGTGAGTTTTACCCACTTTTGTTCACAAGTTCTGGTTCCATTGCTTAGTATTCTGATTTTGCGCTTGATTATTCAACACACGACACGTCTTGTTTCCTACTTCTTCAAGATATAAGATCTCCACCACAAAGAACAAAATATCCTGATATTTGATCTTTTATCAATTCTATGATGGTATAGCAAACAATATCTGTCTTACTCAAGATCCTTATAAAGCAAAACCTGTTCCTGGGATCTTTTTGTATACCTTAAACTTCTGTTGACTGCATCTTAGTGACTCTCACATGGTATAGGAAATGATTAACTATGCTGGCTGCTATTGAGATTTCCAGACTGGTGTTTTGTTAAGCTTAACAACTAATTGTTGATATCTGCTTGATCAGTTAGACACTCGTACCCCCCATCCTCGGAGAAGACTGTATTTGGATCCATGGGGTGTGTATAATCTTACAATTTTCCATATTAGATAGGAATCGTACTTTCTGAACATGAGATGGATTCATTTAGCCTATAACCATTGGAAGATTACATATTCTTTGATATCACGTATTCTGGGTACATGTGTTCCCGACAGTTAAATGACATGAGTGGAGGGAGAAAAAATCACGAGCTTGTCATTGAATATTGACTTTTGGTAGTTCCTGATAAATAATATTCTCTGTTGCGGTTTGTTCTTTCTCTCTCCAATTATTAGACGTGGCTCATGTTCTTACTCTTGCATAGTGTTACTATGTTGGGATCCATATTTTACTTTGTTGATATGATTATGCTTGCTTACTTCCTTGAGATGACCGTATCCTCCTCCATATTTAAATAAAAGCATGCAAATTGTTTGAGTAGAAGGTCCAGAGTTGATGTTTCGTAAGTGAATTGTCTTTGACACTTCAATGGTGGGAAATTTTAATGGTTAGCAGTTTAGCTCAAGCAGTGTTTCCAGTGATGGTTAGCTCAGCTCTGTTTGAATGTTTACTTTTGGCTGATTGTATCTTTAGCCTTCAGTAAAAAAGATATTAAACTGATGGAAGAGATTCTTTATTTGAAGTTATTCCATGAAACCTGATGCACTTTGTTTTGCACATTGGTTCGTGAAGTATCTATTTTCATGTCTGCTACTCTGCTTGCATAGTTGCAGATTTGAGTCAGTTGCATTTCTACAATCTTGAGTGGAGTTTCTGGAATAACTTATGGAGTCCATTGCTTATTAACATAACATGAATGATGCTTCATATGTTAAACTATAGGTTCCATTGGAATTCAAGGAAGTTCTTGATGATACAGTAGTTGTGGCGCTAACCCATGATTCACCTCTGGTAAGACCCTATGCTAGTATAATTTCATTTGATATTTATTCTGTTTTTAGCCATAGATCTGACCAGAAACGTGTGTAATAACTTTTTACTTCTCAACCAATTATGATTATTCGGCATTTGAGAAGTTCTTCCATAAATGCACTACAATACATTATAGCCATCTGAAAGCATGATGCCTATGTTGCTTTATTAATTTGTAGCTTGAGGACATGTTATCTTGCTTATCCATGTGTCCGAATTATCATATTCGGTCAGAAGTGTGGAGCTTGAACGAATCTTTTCTTGAGTGTCCATTGTTTCAGGTCATCATATTCGGATGTTATGTACTTTATGTAAGATTTAAGTGCCAGATCTGCCTGGGAATCTTATCTCACTATTATGAGGCCTAGCTTTTTCTGTTGCTGTCGCTGTAGAAGCTTGCAAATGAAAACAATCAGAGTGACCATATTTTGTGACTGCTAAAGTTCTTCCAGGTTTAGACGAGGTTAATTATAAACTGGTGTTAGAAAATACTTGGGTTCGGCCAAGTGAAACGGAAGTAGATGACTTTGCAATGGCTGAGTGAAGCAGCCAAGTGCAGACATGTATTTTACTTTGCCCCTTACTTTAGGGAAGCTGACTTAGTGTAGTTGTCCATTTACTTCATTTGTTTCTGTTTGTTTTTTATCATTGTGGGTTTTATCTCTCTTCAGTGGATTTAAGGAGGGAATATTACTTTCAGCAAATAGCTTATAGGAAGATTGTAATTAGCAGTCATCTTTGCTACATCTATGATGCATGGAGTTTTTTAGTTTTCAGACATGGGTACTGCTATTGAATGGTGAGTGATAATTTTTGGTTAGGTAAGGGTTGAAGCTGCCTTGACTCTCCGTGTGCTGGCCGAGGTTGATCCATCCTGTGTGGGCGGCTTGATTTCTTATGCAATGACAACGCTTGGCGCAGCAAGAGAAAATGTCTCATTTGAGAAGGTTAAACTTTCAGGCCCGTTCTATCTTATGCTTCTTTTTAGATCCTGCAATTTCATTTTTCTTTGTTTTCCCCCATAGTCCAATTAAATATTTTCTGTTGTTGTGCACTATATTTTTTGCTATATTTATATTTTTCCATTCTCATGTTTTTCGATGAGTACAACTAAGAAGCATGCGAGTTATTAGTGGATAACAAGATGATACCTAATTAATAAGTGAGAACAGCATCACTGAGTAGAAAATGTGATATGCAGTTGCCTTTGGTGTTGATAATAAATTCACTTGGAAGTTCTGTTGCATTTTTCATGGCATTCCTCCCTTCTGCCTATCCCCTTTCTGATTTCATTGGATATGCTTTACTTTCAAGTTACTATATTTCTATTATTTATACTAGTATAAAAGAGTTATTTTGCAAAGAATTGCACGAACTAAAAAATCCTTGTTTTTGATATTTAATTGATGGCAAAATTATAATCACACTTAAAATTTTAACATACAAGGATTCTTAAAATAAATAAATAAAATGATTCCTCTTGTCAATTAAGAATCTCGATCTATAAGGATTCCTTATCATTTAAGTACTTAAAAAACACTAAGGGTGTGCTTGGGTACAAATATATCCGGCGTAAAACGAGTTTATTTAGTTAACCATGGTTAATTTAGAAAAAAGTGGTATGGTTAGTTGTTAGTGGGATTTTGAATTTATAACTAAAGTTGATATGATTTTTAAGTTGATGTAAGGTGTAACAATAATTGATTGATATTATTTAATTATATTGATAATATTGAGGATAGTGGGGATGAATTAAAGTTTAGTTAGATTTGAGTATGTATTGAGTATGAATTGAGTTATTCTATATACAAACACATCCTAACTATTGGATATTCCATCCCTTTATAAAAATCAGATTCCAATTAAGCCTATAGTGTGGTCCTACGCTCATGCTGGGATCATTCTTAAAAAAATTAATAAAAATAATAGTCTATAAAATTAAAAAAAAAAAAATGTTTGTAGTCCTAAGCTCATACCCATTTATTCAATAATTAATGCATATTTAGTTATAAAGTTATGAGGATTGAGTAAAGCTAATGAAGGTTAGTAGAATGTCTTAGAAAGAGGACTATCAAATATGATGTTACGAAAAATTCATGAACATTTAATACTACATAAGTCGACAATATAAAACAATGAACTCGTTTGTAGTATGTCATGAGATGGGTGGTCATTCAATTACAAATAATGAATAATTAGCAATACTCATATTAATGACATGATAACGCAAGTGATAAACATTCAAGCATGTAAATAAACACTCTTTGCCTAATAGCATGGGCTCGTCATACGTTTTGAACAAAAATGCATATTTATACGATATAATATCATACCTTTGTTTATGTTATTTTCGAAAGTATGTTACCTGTGTATAAAGTATGCACATTTATTAAAAATTTGTAACTTCGTAACGGTTAGGCTGTTAGGCAACCCTAGTGTTAAATAAACACCCTACCGTTGTATAAATATTTGGTAAAAAAGACATGCTAAGGTAGTGGTGAAACATAATTGAAATTAATTTTCAAATTTCTTTTAATTTATTGGAATTTTAATGTATCAATTAAGATGTTGGAGGTGTATCATGACTCATGAGTGCCCAGGTATGTAACTTTTTCATAGTTATTGCCAACTAAATAGAAGTGTAATCTGTTTCGTTTTAATACATAATATATTTGAACACAAGAATTAGCTATGAACCAATTTTTTTTTTTTTTTTATTTATATTTTCCATTAGGCCGACTGAAGAATCCAAAGAAAAAGTAATTCATTCATACTTGTGCTTCAATTAGTCAATCTTTAGAAGAAAATGAAATGAAACTATATATTCCTTATTAGAAGCAGCCCTTAGTAAAGTTGAGAATATTATCACGTCTTTACTAGAAACGATTAATTTATTGTACGAGATGAATAATATATATAAGTTTGTTTATATATAGCACATGCGAATACACACTTCAAACGTAAAGTTGTATAATTACACCAATTATAAGGGTATCTTCCAATGGAGCAAAAGTAAGAAGACAAAAGGAAAAAAAGGAAAAATAGAAATGGAAAATGAAATTGGCAATATTATGAAACTTGAGCTAATCTTTTGTGGTTGGAGTCTAACTTCATGGATATAATGTAAATTATATGTTTTCTCAGTTTTAAATCCAAATCTATTTTTTCTTAGTTGTAATGTTTATGGAGATAGTTCAAGGGTATTATAAATTGAAAGATTTTTTTTTCTTATGAAAGTTAATTATGCATTGATAATTTTATAAATTTTGTTGTTTATACTTGTTGCATGTTGTTACATATGATTATTGATAATTTCTTTGTGAATTGACAAGTAGAGAATAAGAAATATGATATATTTTTCTTTTTATTTTTTATATTTTGTTAATCTCAATATTTACAAAAATGTTTAAATTATTATTTATTCTCCATATGCAAAGACAAGTGTAGAAATAGTTTTAAAATAATGCATGTAAAATAAGTTGCGCAATAGTATACATATGATAATTGTTGAATGTTCTTTTGATTAATTATCTAGATAATGACGTGTTTTCAAATTCTAGTATAGATGTGATTGTGGCTATAATCGAAAATATAAGTTACAAATACACAAACCTGATCAGAACAATTATTTAGTTTGTATATAAATTTAATAATCTAGATAATGATGTGTTTTCAAATACTAGTATAGATGTGATTGTAGCTACAATCCAAAATATAAGTTACAAATACACAAACCTGATCAGAACAATTATTTGGTTTGTTTATATTTAATAATATAACTTTTTTGTACATTTTTATTGCATTGTTAAATTGTTCTCTTATGGTATCGCTAGGTTCTGTGCAAAAAACAAAATTATTTTGATTTCCACGTTTTTGTGAACCTTCCATATCTCTTTATTAGTTTTTGAATGAAAACTTTTAAATTATGCGCAGCATAAACTAAATGTTCGAGCAAAACTAAATAAGCCTCAAGTAATTTTGTGCTTACAGTTGGAAAGATATGAATATGAGGTCAAGAAACGATAAGCCTTCAGTAATTTGTTGCTTATAGTTGATAATGGTGAGGAATCAACTATTTTTCCAAGTGAAAAGATTTTATTTTTCAGCTTTGATGAAGCAATTGTTGGCTTGAACGACTATTACGAAAAAGACTCTTTGAACTCTTAACTTCAGATGGTCCTCAAAACAAAATGGTTTATAATCCTTTAGTGGAATTTGCACTCTAGGAACTTTCATACCTACGACCAAAGTCTTAATTAAACTGAACAGCAAAAGGCTCATGAGGAAACATGAGACCTATAATATGATGTATGAACAATTAATAAGCTCAAGGTCAAGCTGGTCTTGATTTGGAAGTAAAAAACAAAAGAACACTCCATCCACCACTCAATCGATCAACCCATGTGATACTTATTTGAATGAAGTTGTTTCGTTAAAAAGCAAATAAAAGAAAACTAGAAAGGTGGAAATGATATCCATTTCGTTTCACGTCAAGATCGTGAGACAGTTAATAGTTCCCATTATAAATGTGTGAGTAGATTGTCTATAACAAATCCAATCATCAATATAAATAAGAGTGATTAGTGCATTTGTAATTCAAATTAGGAACTCATTTGATTTTCTCACTTTGTTTACGATGGAGTCTTATCTTGTTTCGATGTTTATTTGACATACAAACCTTATTATATTTTTAATTCTCCTTGGAACAGGACTTATTCTGCTATTATGTTTTCTTTCATTTTCGCCATTATACAGTTATAATGTTGTGAACCTTATAACATCTTTCTGTTTCTTAACATTGGACCTCATTATGTTTTTCCAGTTTTCTTTATATTAAACCTTATTATGTTATTCCGCTTTTTTTATTGTGCTGCGATTTCATATTTCAAGTACTATTGTTTAGTTATTTATTTAACCATTAATTCTCTTTTCATGTTTTGATGTGTCAACGACTTATTTGCATAACAATCTTGTAGATTCATGAGTCATATTCAATACAGTAAGTGTACTTATGGGATAATTTCTGTGGCTAATTGGATTATACTACCACGTGCATCACACATCACTTACTAGTGCTCTTAAAATCTTAGACATGATCAATCATCTCATGCTCCCACCTATATTGAAGTTTGTCATATTTTGTGAGGAGATATTGGAGCAGTAACAATGTATGTAGAGATGGTCCAACCATTTTCTTTTGACGAAGTAATGTAATGATTACAACCAATAGAATGCAGTGCGTGTTGATTGAATGCCTGTCTATAAAAAGGCATTTCTTCTAGAATCCGTGAACTATATATGTTGTATCATTTTGAGAAACTTTTCATAGACATTGTTTATGTTAGAAGTTATGCTTGTCACAGATATTGGGCTGTTATTGTGTACAAGTGTGGGCAAAGCATCCCCTCCCTTTGAGCTAGCTTTTGGGGATGCTTTACCCGCTCTTGTACACAATATGACTTTTTTTTTTTTTTTTTTTTTTTTTTTGTGATTTTGAATTGATTGTAGGAGATGGCCAGTACTTCACTACATTGTTTGTCGCCTTATATATGTCATTTGCATGTTATTCCTCTGTTTAAGGCTACTTATAACAATCAATTACAGAAACATATATTTACTTTTTGTTTATTCGTAATGATTTATCTTTTTCTAATGTATTGTCTTCCTTTTCTCTTATTAGTGGACTAATTTTCCTGATTGATATCCAGGGCTTTCACTTCAAAAGGGAGATTGAGTCTCTACATGGGCAAGCAGCAGTTGTGGCATCACTTGTGTCAATATCGTGGAAGTTGCCTCTTGGATATCCAACCAGGTAGAATTCTTTGATCTTCAATTTCCCTTCATCTCCTTCTATAACAAAATAATTACATATGTGCAAAGTTCGATAATGTTCATTGAGTGCAGCAGATAATGTGCAGTAAAGGTATGCTTCCATTACAGGTGGAAGCATTTAATTTCTATACTTATATTGCCTTTCACAATGATTTACTTGTTTCTTATGATTGGTGTCTGGTCGGTGCAGATTGCCTCAATCCGTGCTTCAAGTTTGCAAGAACCTGTTGATGGATTCTAGCAGGAATCCTGTGGCAGCTGCTGTTGAGAAAGAAGCTGGATGGAACCTTTTGTCTTCACTATTAACTTCTATGTCAAAAGAGGTAAATGTCAATTGTTCTAGACTTCTTGTTTTAAATGTCTAATCCGTTTCAGTTTCTCAAGGAACTACTTTGATGGTTTCAGGAGCTTCATGATCAAGCTTTTGATATTCTTGCTTTGTGGGCTTCCACATTTAGTGGACATCCAAAACACCACATAAGTCAAACCAATGATCTCACATCGGAAATATGGTTGGTTGAATAATGCTCATTTGAACTTCGCCCTCTGCATTTCTTGCTACTATTTTGACTGTTCTTCTTGATTGTCCATATTTTCACATTTGTAAAACTACCAGATATTTTCAGATTTATGGTGAGTAAACCTTGCTACTCTATTAGGGAAACTCCAACAGATAAACACTTATTGAGCTAATAAATTCCAAGAGGAGGTTAAAAATCAGCACATATGGATTATAAGGAATGAATCTGAATTACCACCTTAAACAATATTTCACCTGGAATGCAATGATTTTTTTTGTAATTTTTTATTTTTGTTATATTTATTGAGTACGATACATCGTGTTTTTTCTGTAGTGTGTGGTCTGCTGCTGTTGATGCCCTTACTTCATATGTCAAGTGTTTTATTTCCTCTGACCCTGTGAACAGAAGGATCCTGCTGCAGCCAGTTCTTTTGTACTTGAATAGGTAAATTGATTCAAGTAGTATCCTGGATCTGCTTGGCCATGAAATTCCGTTGGCTATAATTTGATTTTTCTTCCATCTGAACTACCTCCCTTACATAGATCTTAATTCTTATGAACCAGGGCATTGTCGAATGCTTCACAGTTAGCTGGTAAAGAACAAGCAGGAGGAAAATCTTCAGTTGACTTATTTATTCTCCGGGTGTTGATAGCATATGATGCTCTTTCAGACCCATCTCTCTACAAAAGTGACCATGTGCATATCATTCAGATATGTACTACTCCTTTTAGGTAATATAAGATGAAGGCATGTCTTGTGTTCATATTTTTCTGTCACATGTATTGCTGTGTACTTTTATTTCAAGAAAATGAATGCCACTGTATGTAAATGTGTCAGACGTGCACATTTTCCTTATCATTTTAATGAACTTATTTCAATTTCTGTGGTTTTATACAAAACATATGACAGGGAAGCTTCCAAATGCGACGAAAGCTCTTGTCTGAGGTGGTTGTTGGACAAGAGAGATGCCTGGTTAGGTCCTTGGACTCCCGGAAGGTTAGCTCCCTGTTTCTTGCAGACTTGGATTCTGTACCATTCTAAGTCATCATTGGTCTCGTCATCTATCTTTTATCAATATCTTGAAGGCAGTGGAATTTTCATTGTTTAGATCTTCTCAGTTGTGAATTTGAACTTGATTCTAGGGATTGGTTTGAAGATGAACTTCGTTCTTTTCAAGGGGGAAAAGATGGCATATTGACATGTGTTTGGGAGAAAGAGCCTCCTAGTTTCCCTCAGGTAAAGAAATTGCCATGGTTTAAAAGATTTTGCAACCTATGTTGCTGAGAGTTTTCTTTTTTCTTGATTCCTTATGTTAATGTATATGACGAAAACATTGAAGCCCGAGACTACAAGTAAGATGCTGGTCAATCAGATGCTCCTCTGCTTTGGGAATATGTTTGCTTCTCAGGTACTGATCACGTTACTGGTTTAGCGTGTGAGCTAAATTTCTGTTCGACATGGAAAATTTGAATGTGGTCAATCTCTTTTTTTCTATGTTCTCCCAGGATAGTAGTGGGATGCTGTCGTTTATTGGCATGATCGATCAGTGTCTGAAAGCTGGAAAAAAACAAGCTTGGCATATGACAAGTGTTACCAATATATGTGTGGGGTTATTAGCTGGCCTGAAGGTTATATCATAATCTTGTGTTCAATAAAGCCACCAATAGTATTCACAGTCTAAATATCTCCGTGATTTTGTTTTTCTTCCAGACTTTGCTTGCTCAACGTCCTGAACCCCTGGGAATGGAGATACTAAGTGCTATTCAGGCTATTTTCCAGGTCCTGATGATGCTTTAATTGCAGATGTGTCAGATATCTAACCCATCCCTTGTTTTCCTGAATGCGACCTTGTGATGTTGGCAGAGTATTTTAGCTGAAGGTGACATTTGTGCATCACAACGTAGAGCATCATCAGAAGGTCTTGGTTTACTAGCGAGGCTCGGAAATGATATATTTACAGCCAGGATGGTTTGTTTGATTGATGTTCTTCTGCGTGATGATTTTTTCCCTTGACTTTACTTTTGTTTTATTTACCCTTGCTTTCAGGATTGCTTATAATGGGAATCAATTGTTATTATCTCTTTCCGCCTTTATATTTACGAAGGAACTAGGAATTATTTTGTAAAGAAGAAATTGGGTTTCAGTTTTTAGTTTGTTGAGAGCAAAAACTTCAGAAATTTTGCTCTAAGAGTCTGAATCATTAGCAAATGAGTCTTATTGGTGATCTTATCATAGCCAGTATGATTGTTCTACTTTTATCCATTTTCTGTCAATGTAATATTAAGTGCTAAGTCAGTACTTTAGGTGACAGTTCTTATATAGTAGGGAGAATCTCTGACTGATTCTTCTTGTGAGCAGACAAAACAACTTCTTGGCGATATTACTGGTGGTATAGATGCTAACTATGCTGGATCAATTGCTCTTGCTCTTGGCTGCATTCATCGCAGGTATGCAATGAGAATTGATATAAACCTTTAACTGAAAAGCAGCTTGAGCGAGTTGAAGCTCATCACAGACCCTGCTACACACGAAAGAAATAAACAAACAGAAAAAAAAAATTGAGCAAAGAGAAAGCTGCACATCAAAGTTCAGGCATCTACACACAACATAATCATATTGTGTACATAAACTAGTTCAGTGTAACCAACTTAAACTTAAATATTGAATGATTTTAAAGTATATAGTCCCAACTCGTGCAGTGAACTGACAACTGCCTTTGGATTGTTGCTATTTCCTTGTTGATTTTACTTGTTTTAGAACAAAAGAAATGACTAATCATGTGCAAATTTCTTGACTTGAGCTTATGCTAGTGCAGAACTCCTTCAGCAGATTTGTTTATTAAATAACTTCAGCACAACTTTACTGTGGAAATCGTTCAAGCTAAGCAACCTGTGAACATAATGTGAATATATTTGAGAACTACATGAATAATGTTATTTAATATTTGGAGGCATTTCTCATTGTGGCACACTTAAAATGTTCTCATTACTTTGTTTAATTTCAGTTGTTAATACTAATGATATCTTCGATAGATGTTTTTCGGTCATTTTATGCACACTGCATGGAAGAAGAGTTTGATCGATTCTGCTCTGTCGAATTGTTATTGATAATTGATGACTTTCTAATGCATCAAGATGTTGAGAACAGCTTGTTTGTACTGGGACAGGAAAGTCAGTTTCCACATTGGCATACTTTTTATATTAAGCTGAACAATCTATTATACCAATAAATGGAATCACGTAAGAGCCTAATCTTGATGGTTTTACCCTCGCAGGATAACTGAGAATTTGTTTTCATCTGCAGTGCAGGAGGAATGGCATTGTCAAGTTTAGTTCCCAGTACAGTAAATATTGTCTCTGCGCTTGCTAGGAAATCAATTTCAAGTCTACAGATTTGGTCCTTGCACGGACTTCTTTTGACCATTGAAGCGGCAGGCCTCTCCTACGTATCCCAGGTTCAGGTATAGATGAGCTTGCAGACCTTTAGTTGTTTGAAGTTTGATCTTATCACCAGTTTTTGTAATTTTTGTGATAATATCTAGATGGGTTCTGATATAATGGAAAAGACATGACTTACAGAGACGTTGAATTTCCTTGATCTGAATATAAGTTGTTTTACTATCGGTGTAGATGTTCTTTCTTTTACCATGTTCACAGCAGCAAGTGTTGCTTATAATATGGCTTCCACCGAAGCCAATTTTGTAGTGAGTAAAGCTGAGGTTAATGAGGGTACTGGCTAGAAGAAATTCAAACCTCAAGCTAGCAGAATTAGTTATGCTTATAAAAAGAACTACCCGTCATATAAAACTTGTAGTGAAAGATGCATCTTTAGATGAATGTGAAGAAAAATGTATCATTAGAAGACATGCTAACCATTTTGAGTCAAAATACATGAAACCTTTGGTGCATCTGACTGAAGCAAGTTCACATAACCTAATCATCAAAAAAGTAAAAGCAGTCGCATAATCCGATTATTTGAGGTATTTTTAACTGATTATTTGCTTCGTACACTTATGAGAATTATATTGATTTCTAATTTTCTATTAAGTTTTCCGAAATCTGTAGAAGTGACGGGATGAAGAAACAAAGCGTTTAAATTTCATTTCATACTCCTGTCATTTGTTTGGTAAATATTTGATGTGGATTTTTAGCTTTTCCAGAAGATAACTAAAGCCATTATTTTTGTGAGTAGTCTCGTTAGTGGCAGGTTTAACGTAGCAAGCCAACAGTTCCTGACTACCCCCAGGAATATTGCACCTCTAGGCTTGTAACTTTTGTTAAGTTTATCTTAAAAAATTTCTTCTGCTTTCGTGATATTGTGTAGGCAACACTCGGCCTTGCGATGGAAATTATCCTGTCTGAAGAGAGTGGTTGGGTTGATCTGCAGCAGGCAGTGGGCCGCCTTATTAATGCTGTTGTTGCTATTATAGGTCCAGAACTTGCTCCTGGGAGCATTTTCTTCTCACGCTGCAAGGTGTGTTCATTATGTTTCCCTTGATATAGGAAGTTTAAGCTTTTCTTGGGTATGCTTATCCCGACAATTTCATTTCCAGTATGATAAAAGAGTTGTGTGAACTTGGTAGAAAGATGTTTTGTGTTTCTCTTATAAGAGTGCAGTACAGAGACGATACTCATCAAGCAAAGTGTTTGTATAATTTCTTTAGCTCTGAATTCTTAATCATGAATTGAATATTCTGTAATTCTTGCACTCATTTCCAATTCTTTTTCTTCGTTTTCTTTTAAAATATAGATTAATTTAAGTTAAATCCGACATATTTGTAAATTTAATTTTCTTATCCACCTCACTGCCTTCATATATTCGACCACTGTTATCTCGCCTATGATTTCTAAGTGGAATCTGAATTTCTTCTTTTGACTGTACAATTTTCCAATGTCCTAAAAGAAGCTAGGCACTCGCTAGGTGGGAGGCTGAGACATAGTGCCTGGAGCCCCTACGCGGGAATTATTCTATTTAATGTGGTTAAATATAATTGTTCTTACAAATTACTATATGTTCATAACTATTGTATTGTATTAATTTTAATACTAATATTATTTATTTCATTTTATTTTATTATTATTATATATTCCATGTATAAAATCAAATATAGTTTTTATAATATATTGAAAACAATAATAAATATAAAAAATATTATACAGGCATCTTGACCGCCTAGGTTGTCGCCTAGACCGATTAACCAGTCTAGGCCTGACTAGTACCATAGCTGTTTTGACTGTCTAGCCTGCCTAGACAACGCCTAATTGCCTGAGTGCCTAGCAAAGGCGCCTACATGAAAATCGGGGTGCCCTGGTGCCAGCTAGCTACTAGGCATCACCTAGCCCAATTTTTTGAACATTGTTATTTTCAATACCACTGAGCCATGAACTAGAAGGTTTTATTTATAGCCATATACTATCTAGTCACTTGGTTGTTGATTGTTTCCTAATTGATGCCTTTGTGCTTAGTCGGCTGTTGCTGAGATCAGTTCCTCACAAGAAACAGCAACACTTCTCGAGTACGTAAACTCTACTTTTATTTCCTTTTGACTTTTCTGTTTTTGGTTTGTTTCTGTTGTGTCTGAATCGGAATGAGTTTGAAATTAAAGCTGTGATATATCTGATACTACATATATGGTGGTTTTACTATTTATTTTCTTCTTTACAGGAGTGTGCGTTTCACACAACAGCTTGTTGTTTTCGCACCACAAGCAGTTACTGTTCATACTCATGTGCTAACTCTCCGTCCTACTCTGTCCTCAAGACAGGTATGCATCAACTATTTGATCTAATGGGTTGCGATAATTGTCTTTACTCACTCGTAACAGATAGTATTATTTGTGTCAGCCAACTCTGAGACATCTGGCTTTGAGCACTCTGCGTCACCTTATAGAAAAAGACCCGGTTAGTAATTATGCAGCTAACTAATTTGCATTACACACACTTGTATATATATGTGTGAATATTTATGTGTGAGTGTGGTTTAGCAAGCACTTCACTAAACATTTCATGTTGGAAGTATTCGAATAGGCTGAATAATCCTTTAATCAAGAAAAATATACACCTATAAGTTAGCGTCCCAAATTCTGTACAAGATGAATAAGCTTTTCCCCCAATTATGTGTCAACCTAAAAAAAATGCGCCTTGAAGGCTGAAGAAGAGGAACTGCTGTCATATAGCTGCATTAACAGAAGTAATCTTTGTTAGTTTTCAGATATCCTAATCCATTTATCATATAAGTGCTTCTGATCCCCCTTTTACCTGATCTCTCCTTTGTCTCACGGATATTCATTCATTATTTATATAAATTTAGTGTCACAAGCTGATTTAGCGACTTTCCAATTGCAGGTTTCCATAATTGATGAACAAATAGAAGAAACCTTGTTCCATATGTTGGATGAGGAAACTGATACAGAGTAAGTTGTGTCTGTGTATCCTCTGAAAGCTTCTTATGCTTTTGCAATTTATGCAATTGAAGGTGCCCGACTTGTTTCATTCTTCATGTATACACGGTTTTGGAATTTTAAAATATTTTTAACAGTGTTTTAGAGTTGAAATATATTAAATTTGTGTAAATATCAGTTATTACAATAGGTATTGCAATTGGATTTCTTTGGGCAATAGCAATGAAGATATACTAGTGCAGTATGGTCAGTTATTGCTTAGCTGAAGAATATAGATAATGCTTACAATGTGAATAAATGATCATTCAATCAAATATGCCCTATTATCTCAGCGGCATTATCATATCTTTGCAATAAATGTTCTTGTTTAGAGTTGCGTGTCTAGAAATGGTGGAGACATGCCTTGATTTTCTCTTCTAAGGTGGTGCTTTAGGTCATTGGTGAATAGCTGATTTTCAAGTTCATGAAGAAGAGCTCAGATTTGTAATTACAGGTGTTACATGCTCTAAAGGTTTCATGGAGGGCAGATACTTGCCACTGGTTATAACTTTTGAATATCGCATTCTTTGGTGATGTTTCAAGGACTGTAGGGCCCAACTGAAATTGCCTTTATAGATAGATGCATCCTTCACTGAATGAATAGATAGATGCATCCTTCACCATATGTTGTATGTATGTCCTGCTTTGTTGTATCAACTGATTTGACAAAATGTTGTCTATGTTTTCCTACAAAATCTTGTATTCTCTTTCTCAGAATCGGCAATTTAGCACGTGCCACTATTATGAGATTGCTTCATGCATCATGCCCTTCACGTCCGTCCCATTGGCTGTCAATATGCCGTGACATGGTAACTTCCATACCTTCGTACTTCACACTTCGTATATATTGATATGTTTTACAATGAAGAATAGAAAGAAGCTGATACACTTTGTTCGATAAATTGGATGACAAGTAGGAAAGGGAGTATACGTGTGTAAGTATAGTACTTTCGATTGCTACAATCCAATCTAATTTGGTGAGTGTGGGGAAAAAAGAAGAGTAATTGGTCCTATGCTCAATCTTTCTGTTTGTTCACAAAACTTAAACTTAAATTCAGATTCTTTTTTGTCTTGTGATCAATTTATGTTTCTTTCTCACCCAACTTCATAATGGTAAAAGAGTAAGACACAGGAGGATTTAGAGGGTTGTATGTTATTCGAAGGAAAATAATATTTCTAATCAGATATTGCTAAATTGTAGGATAACAGTGGATTTGGAAGAGATTGTGAAAGTGCATCTGATTTTAGCTAAATGTGTGAGTTACTACCATAGTCTGAAACAAGAATGGAGAACTTAGAGGCAAGGTTTTTGCCATTTTATCGCATACTTTAGCCATATTACGGCTTATTGCAGATTAAGCAACATACACTCTTAATTATGAATTTAAGCTCTACAGTTCTGTCCTCGTCTTATTTTACTAGTCTGTCACTATATCCAGCTTCCTGTTCCTGTCTAATAGAGATATATGTCTAGAATTATCTTTAGAAACTTGCAACCAATCTTCTCTGTAGCCAGTCAATTAGACCTGGCATGTTGAAAAGAAGAAGCATATCTAGCGTTTCATATCTATTTTCAGTGTTGGTGTATATGTTCATAGAATGATCTGTATAAAGAGCACTTAAAGAGCACTGAAGTTCATGGTACTGCAGCAGTATCTGAATTGGGAGCTTGAAAATTAACTTTTTCGGTTGTACAGTTGTACAGTTGTATGAAGCGCTCGTTTTGAGGGGTTTATTTTGACAATCATGATGCTTTTGGTTTCTCATTCATGTTTTACTTCTTGCATTTGTTCTTTATGTTAACTGTTATATTATAGGCCCATAGCCCATATGTCCTAAGTCTATATATATGGGGCCTCCTCTTGTGAATATTCATTGTCCAAAACCCTAAGGTTTGTAACATGGTATCACAACCTTACACATAAATATCTTTTTTTTTTTTTCGATCTCACCTCCCACACCATTAAAATCGCCGCCCCGAGAACGACCGTCTGGCAAAGTCTCGCCGTCAGAAGCCGCGCGTGTGAGTCATACGCGCCGCCGGGACTGTCTGCCGTCAATCCCACGCGCCGGCGCGTGACGGCGCGTGGCTGGTCGGAATTTTTTTTCGGCGACCATATGAACTCGGAATTCTGTGCTCTTGCTGCCAGTGTCCTTTGTTTTTCTGTTTCGGGAGGTTTTGGTGTTCGTTTTGTGCATTTTCAGATCCGTCGCTCTTCGGGGTTAGGGTTTTTGTACTCTAATCTGTCCCGACCGTCGTCAATTTCTGTTTTTTTTGTTGTCACTCGCCTATTGTGTGCCCCAACGCTGCCCGTCGCAGCACTTTCATTCACACTTCGTCGAGGCTTGTTACTACGTGTTTGTCTAATCATGTCGCAACTTCATGGAATTGCTATCAATATTACTCTTGATGGTCAGAATTATCGGGAGTGGGCTTTCTCGATTGAAACCGTGTTGAGGGGTTACGGTTTGGCCTTTCACTTGACTGATGATGGACCCGAAAGGAAGGCCGATAATAGCAATGCTACCGAAATCAAAATATGGCAGATTAATGATGGGAAAGTGATGGCTGCCATCGTCAACAGTGTCAAGCAGTCCATGATTATGAGCCTTTCTTCATTTCGGACAGCCAAAGGAATGTGGTCTTATTTGCAGCAGCGCTATGTTCAGGATAGTGGTGCTTTCTTACACACCCTTATGCAACAAATTCACGTGATTGAATAGAATTACATGTCCGTTGATGAATACTACTCTGCTTTTGATCGTTTGATGGGACCATTGATCTCTATGGTACCTCAGTGCTCGGCGGAGGAGTGTTCAACACATAAGTTTGTTGAGAAGTTCTTTATTTATCGCTTTGTCATGGGAGTCAGAGCAGAATTTGAGTCCATTCGTACACGGTTGCTTCATAACTCCTCTACTCTAACCATGGGACAGGCACTATCTGATTTGATTGCTGAAGAGACTCGTCTCCATTCTCTGTCAGTTGCTCCGCCGTCTATATCGCAGAGTGTTTTGGCAGCTCCCCAAAGGACATTTTCTCAACGGCTTAGTGCACCCAGAGGTGACTCTCCGGATCCTTGTAAGCATTGTGGGAAGACTGGTCACAGTCACGAGAATTGTTTTACTCAGCATCCAGAAAAATTGGCTGAGTATCGTGCGCGCCGGGCTACTCGGGCTCGTAGTACGACTTCTGCTACAAAGGGGTCTGTTTCTGTCGCTGCTGCCTCTCCTGTCCATGCTCCTCAGTCTTGGGTCCTCGATTCTGGAGCATCTTTTCATGTGACATCTGATCACTCCCAGTTGGTTGCCTGCAAGGCGGTCCCCGATGGTGCTTCTATTTAGACAGCTGATGGCACTTCTTGCCATATCACTCATGAGGGTTCTCTCTGCAATTCTCGTTTTTCAGTGCCTAATATCTCTTATGTTCCTAAATTATCTATGAATCTTCTTTCCGTTGGTCAGGTCACTGATCAAAACTGTTTTGTTGGATTTGATGACTCATCTTGTTTTATTCAGGATCGTCGAAGCGGGGCTGTGATTGGGACTGGCCATCGCCGTAAAGGTTCTTCTAGCCTCTACGTCTTAGACACTTTACATCTTCCCTCTTTCACTGGTTCTACGGCTCGTATGTCATCCGTTGTCTCGTCTTCCACCTCATCTTTTGCCAAGTGGCATCATCGTCTTGGTCATTTGAGTGGGTCTCGTTTGTCTACTTTCATTAGTACTGGTTGTTTAGGTCGTACGTCTATCGAGTATAGTTTTCATTGTAAGGGTTGCAAGCTCGAAAAACAGCTGCAACTCCCATATCCTACTAGTATTTCTCATTCTACTAGACCTTTTGATCTTATTCACTCTGATGTATGGGGTCCGTCCCCTTTTCCTACAAAAGGTGGCAATAAATATTATGTTCTTTTTATTGATGATCATTCTCGATATACTTGGGTTTATTTTATGAAACATCGTTCTCAGTTGTGTTCCATATATAAAGATTTTGCTCGCATGGTTCATACTCAGTTTTCTACTCCTATTCGAGTTTTTCGTTCTGATTCTGGTGGTGAGTATATGTCTAACAATTTTCGTCAATTTTTGACCTCTGAGGGCATTCTTGCCCAGCTCTCCTGTCCTGGTGCACATGCTCAGAATGGTGTTGCAGAAAGAAAACACCGCCATCTCATTGAGACTGCTAGAACCCTTCTCATTGCCTCATTTGTTCCTTCTCATTTTTGGGGAGAAGCTGTGTCTACAGCTGTTTATCTTATCAACCGACAGCCGTCTTCTAAACTGTCTGGTAAGTGTCCTGGTGAGGTTCTTTTTGGTATTTCCCTAGCTATGATCATCTTCGGGTTTTTGGATGTACATGTTATGTATTGCTTGCTCCTCGTGAGCGCACTAAACTGACTGCTCAGTCTGTTGAGTGTGTCTTTTTGGGATATAGTTCCGAGTATAAGGGTTATCGTTGTTATGATTCTTCCGCTCGTCGCATGCGTATATCTCGTGATGTCACTTTTGTCGAGGATCGTCATTTCTTTTATAACCCTTCCACTCCTCCCACATCTTCTTCTTCTTCAGAGTCTACGTCATTATTATGTCTTCCACATATTTCCTTTCTTGATGATGATGTCCCTGTCTCTTCTCCATCTTCCACTCCTGATGAGCCTGCACCACCTAATTTTGATGAGCCTCTACCACATAAAATACCCATCACACAAGTCTATACTCGTCGTTCCAAAGGTCACACAACGCTTTTGCCTCATTCTACTCCAGTGGTCAGTCCTGATGCTCCCGTCCTAGATGATTCTGTTGATTCTGATGTATCACGTGCCATTCCTGGAGAATCTGAGGTTGGTCAGAGATATAATTTACGTGATCGTGCTACTATTGTGCCTCCTGATAAGTTGGGCTTTCCACGTGCGGGTGCTATTATTGATGAGCCCTCAACCTATCAGGAAGCTTCGAGTATTCCAGAGTGGCAACTGGCTATGTCAGAGGAACTTGCTGCACTTGATCGTACTGGCACTTGGGATCTTGTTCCGTTACCATCGCATGCCGTCCCTATCACCTGTAAGTGGGTCTTTAAGATTAAGACCAAGTCAGATGGTTCCATTGAGAGATATAAAGCTCGTCTTGTTGCTAGAGGCTTTCAGCAGACTCAGGGGCGAGATTATGATGAGACTTTTGCTCCCGTTGCTCACATGACTACTGTTCGTACTTTGATTGGAGTGGCTGCTACTCGTTCTTGGACCATATCTCAGATGGATGTGAAGAATGCTTTCCTTCATGGTGATTTGCATGAAGAAGTTTATATGCAGCCACCACCGGGTGTTGATGCCCCCTCTGGACATGTTTGTCATCTGCGTCGTGCATTATATGGTCTCAAACAGGCTCCTCGTGCTTGGTTTGAGCGTTTTGTCTCTGTCATACGGGCTGCTGGTTTCGCCCCTAGTGATCATGATCCTGCTTTGTTTATTCATCTCTCTTCACGTGGACGTACTCTACTTCTTCTATATGTTGATGATATGTTGATTACGAGAGATGATGAAGAGCATATTTCCCATGTCAAGAAGCAACTTGGTCAACAATTTCAGATGTCTGATTTGGGTCCCCTTAGCTACTTTTTGGGCATTGAGGTGATGCATTCTGCCTCGGGCTATTACCTTTCTCAGTCCAAATACATACATGACCTTCTTGTTCGTTCCGGTATTACTGATAATCGGACAGCGGTTACACCTATGGATCTTCACTTACAGCTTCGTCCTACTGATGGTACTCCTCTTGAGGACCCCTCTCGCTATCGCCATATTGTCGGCAGTCTTGTTTATCTTACTGTTGCCAGGCCCGATATTGCTCACGCAGTTCATATATTGAGTCAGTTCGTGAGTGCTCCTACTTCAGTTCATTTTGGGCATTTGCTTCGCGTGCTACGATACTTAAGGAGGACATCATCTCAGTGTTTATTTTATGATCGTGATAGTCCGCTTCAGCTTCATGCTTACTCGGATTCTACTTGGGCGAGTAATCCAACCGATCGTCGCTCTGTCACGGGTTATTGCATTTTTCTTGGTTCTTCTCCCCTTACATGGAAGTCCAAGAAGCAGGCAGCTGTATCTCGATCTAGTACAGACGCCGAACTTCGAGCACTTGCTACTACCACTTCAGAAATTATATGGCTTCGATGGTTGTTAGCCGATTTTGGTATTCCATGTGATGATCCTACGCCTCTTCTTTGTGATAATACTGGAGCAATTCAAATTGCCAATGATCCAGTAAAGCATGAACTTACAAAACACATTGGTGTTGATGCTTCCTTTACTCGATCTCACTGTCATCAGAAAACAATCGTTCTTCTGTATGTGCCGTCAGAACTGCAAGTGGCTGATTTTTTCACCAAAGCACAAACTAGAGAGCAGCATCGGCTTCACTTGCTCAAACTCAATGTTTCGCATCCTCCACCTCCACCTTGAGTTTGAAGGGGGGTGTTAACTGTTATATTATAGGCCCACAACCCATATGTCCTATATGTCCTAAGTCTATATATATGGGGCCTCCTCTTGTGAATATTCATTGTCCAAAACCCTAAGGTTTGTAACACTTTACTCATGTATTAGTTTGTTTTAGTGGAGTAAGGTTTGCACATGGTGAAATGGGGGGTTTCGTGTGTTGGAATCATTTATAATTGGAAGGTGTGGCTATTTTTCTTTTTTCATAGCACTTACTAACTGTTTATGATTACTGAGATACTCTTTTCAATTGAATGGAATTGTACCATAGTTGAGTTTCATTTATGGACATGCATAAAGAATTGGGTTCTCAGGCTGAAGTAGAGTAGATTTACTTTCTAGTTTCACAATGATAACATTTGCTTGTGATTGTTCGATTGCTGAGTGGGTGCATTTTATATCTAAAAAGTGGAAACATCCAAAGTTGATCTAAAATATTTTTAATGAACTGTGTAGATTCTTTCTACAACATCGCGATATAATACAAGCAAGAGTAATAATAGCGTGAATGATTCCTCATCTGGTCTGGATGGTGAGAACAGTTTGGATATTGTGAACGATGATGAGAACATGGTCTCTAGCTCCGGAGGTGTATCAGTTCGCAGTTATAAGCTCGACTACTCCAGTCCTATCTTCTCAAGGGATAAGCATCTCAGATATAGAACAAGAGTTTTTGCTGCTGAGTATGACACCGATTTTTACATTTCTTATTAGTCTTGCTACAGCCGAATGAACTTTATCTTCCATATTTGCATATTTTCTTTCCCTTGAAACCCTGTTCACATTTGCAATTATTTATTCGGCTAGTAGAGAAAGAAATCATGAGTTCATTATTATATCAGTATTTTGACATCAGTGTTATTAATGGCGGATGGCGGTACATGGCGGTTTGCCAAAATTCCGCCATAGGCTGCCATGGCTGCCGCCGTGGCAGCCTATGGCGCTGCCATGACCGCCATTCTTCACTAATTTTGCATGGCGGATTGTCAAAAATCTGCCACGCCATACTGCCATGGCGCCGCCATGGCCGCCATTTGATAACACTGTTTGATTGTTATATTTATGCCCAGTGGTTGTCGAATACAACGATTTGTTTTGCTGAAAGTATGCCAAGAATCATGTACTGCCTCTTACATTTGGAAAAATGAATGATTTGCCCATTAGGAAGATAGTTTCTGCGCGTAAATGTTATCTGGTTATAGTTGGAAAAAATTAGTTCATATTCCAGTCAAACACAGATGGTGAAACTATTATTGCGCCACAGCATATTGGTTCTACAGATTGTATACTTCTGAGTGAAGTTGTATACTTCTGAGTTCTTATCCATAAAACCTGCTCTACTGAATTTAATATATATATATACAAAAAATGTGGGGAGCTTCAATGAGTACTGTATTTTTGACAGACCAATAATATCCCAAGTTTCACGAGATGTTATGAAATTAAAACATGAAAGACTTATGTGTGCCATGAATACTTTTGACGCTATCTGATGCATTATTTGTTGTTCTTATGTCACAATATGATGCAATATGTACTGATACATAGCAGATTACGACAAACCCTTTATTGCCCCGAGGTTTTGACTAGACCATGATTGCAATAGGTGCTTAAGTCATCTTCCTGAAGCTGTTGGAGAAAATCCTGCTCATTTTGACCTCTTATTAGCAAGGAGACAGTCTGCTAAGGGGCGCCTTTCTGGGGACTGGCTGGTTCTTCAATTGCCAGAACTCATCTCTCTTGCTTATCAGGTACTGAATTATTTATTTTAAAAGAGTGAGAGGTGGAGGGCGGGAGGAAAAGAAGAATGGTGTATTTGGGGTCATTTAAACATAAAAATGTGCATAGAGTGTTTGCCCTCATTTTAATTTTTTTATTGGTCTATATTTATACAACTGTAATTTATGAAAAGAAAAGACATAACGGGTTAAATTATTGTCTGTTTACCATATATTGTTTTCTTAAGAATGACGGGAAAATGTTGTCTTTATGTAAACATTGCGACAGATAAAGTTGCAGACGACTTACTATAAATGCAACAACTATACATTTTATACATCTATCATATGTTTCTTGTAGATAAGCACCATTCAGTTTGAGAAAATGCGGCCGATCGGTGTGTCACTTCTGTGTACAATTATGGACAAGGTACTACTGACATTTGAGCGATTTCTATATTAATCCTTGTCTTCTCATGAAATCAGCAATGGTATTCTGTATATTTTAGTTTGTTTATTATAGTAATCACCAATTGGGCTTGCTACTACTGTAAAATATTTGTGTTGCAAATTGAAGCATATAACTGGCGCGACTTGATGGTGAAGCTCTATGGACAAAATTTTTAGTTATGGAAACTTCATTTTTTTTTTCTGTTAATGTAAATATGAAATAGATTCGTTGCAACAGTCAAGGACTATTATCGTCTCAATTATGAAAAAGATTTATCTTTAGATTAAAGCCAAAACATTAAAAATGGACTTCAACAATTCCTCACCTATTTCTACAGTTCTTTGGTTTCCAATCCATTAGAAATATTTTATCATCCGAAAAAGTTTACTTCTATAATGGTTAGATTTTGAATGATGTAATTTTTTTTTGTCATAAGAGCATAAATTGAACTATTGACAGATGGAATATGTTTTCGATGGTGGAAATTGGTTGTATAACATTGTAATGATAGCATGAGCAGCTCTTAATGACATCATGAGCAGCTCTTAAATTTGTAATTTGGGAGCCTTGGTGAGTATCTGGTGAAAGTTTCCCATTTTCTAATTGATCTGGTGGTACTCAGTTAACCAATGTGATCTTAGATTTAAATCTGAATATGATTGATTTTGAGCTGTGTTTCACCAGAAGTTTTATGGCTGAGTGATATTTTTTTTTTTCTTTTTTTGTTAGTTTGCCGCAGTTTCAGACCCCGAGCTTCCAGATCACTTACTTTTAGAACAGTATCAGGTTCGCTACTTTGCATGCTTTATTTGCCCTTCATGCAAACTTTTCTCCCAATCTCTATGATGATTCTTGGGTTCTCTCTAAACTATTTTCTAATGCCTCATTGGTACATACATTTTTATCAAGAGTGAACTTATTGTCGATATGAAATTTACTCACTCTAGGCCCAGCTTGTGTCTGCTGTTCGAAGTTCATTGGACTCCTTTTCAGGCCCAATTTTACTGGAAGCTGGTCTGCAACTAGCCACTAAGGTATAGATTGGAAGCAGTTAGTTTTGTTTTCCGTGATGAGTTGACATTTATCAATCAGATGGTTTTGGATGATGCAATCTCAGATGCTAACAAGTGGGATTATTAGTAGAGATCAAGCTGCAGTCAAGAGAATATTTTCTATGATTTCACGTCCACTGGATGACTTTAAAGACCTTTACTATCCCTCATATGCCGAATGGGTCTCATGCAAGGTTCATTTACCTTTGACCAAATTACATAGCTGTGACATAAAAAGAAAAATATTGAACTGTTCTGTGCTTAACAATATTTGATTTAGATCAGAAAATTCAATTAGACCTAAAAAGAGCTTCACGCATATTTTGTTTCTTATTAATTTCAGATAAAAGTGAGGCTCCTCACTGTCCATGCTTCTCTTAAATGCTACATGTTTGCATTCTTAAGCAAACAAGGTGATGAAGTTCCTGATGAGTACGTATCTCTACTGCCGTTGTTTGCAAAGAGTTCAAGCATTCTGGGGACATACTGGCTGTCCTTTTTGAAGGACTACATCTTTGTACGCTTCCATTTACATTTAGGAGATGTGAGTTTGAAATTTATTTTTCCTCTACTCTGTGCTACCTGCTTCAACTAATAATGTATCATTCCAGGGAGAATACTTTACCTTCCAATACTTAACTTTGTCTTCTATTTCATGTGTCGTAGTGGAAACCACTGCTTGATGGTATTCAGTCATCAAGTGTCTCAGTTGAGTTGCAGCCGTGCTTAGAAGAAGCTTGGCCTGTAATTTTGCAAGCTTTGGTGATGGATGCAGTACCTGTAGATTCTAATATGAATGGATCTTCTCCAACAAATGGATCAAAAGATATTCCTACTTCTGGGTACAGCATGGTGGAATTGCAGTTGGATGACTTTCAGTTTCTATGGGGTTTCTCTCTCCTGGTTCTATTTCAGGAGCAAGATGTTATTCTTGGCAAAAATATTATACCAGTTACCAAATCCAAGTTCAGTAGTGACTTCCTAGTTGATGATTCCATTTCTTTATCTTCAAAGTTAAACAACATTTTCCTCCCTGTGTTTAAATTTATGTCCACGGAAAGGTTCTTCAGTTCCGGATTTCTCACCCTGGATGCTTGTAGAGAGTTAGTGCAGGTACATATGTATATTCATCATCAATCTTACATCAATAAGGGTAATAATTTCTTATTTTTGTGTTCGTAGTTTAAGAATGATACATATGAGGCAGTCTCTCTTAATATACATGTTCTTCTTATAACTCGTCATTGAAGTTAAATCTGGCCAAAGGCCCACAACCAAATTCAATATGGAAATTTCGCAAAGTCAGTTTCTGTAGGGAAGGAGGGTTTACTTTCTTGCTTTTTAGTTAAATCTGTAATCGAGCTTCTTGTTCCAGTCGGTCAGACTGCATGCAGTCAAAGGCAAAAATCATGCCTCAAAATTCGTAAAACGACCATTTCCAAGTTTTGTCGCTTAAGACAGCCGTAGAATGCTCTAAGATGACCACCTACTTTGTCCTAATTCAATTGTGGACTGTTCTTTTCTGAAATCATTCAGAAATTAGGTTGAAATAGTTTAAGCATAGGGAAGGATGGAACTCTACTCCTGACTTTACTGTTTGTCGGTCTGTTGTAGGGATGCATGTTTTTCCTCAATCACGTTGTTTGTTTCTGGCAAAATAACGACAATATAAATTATCTGGTCTCTAATTTCCTTTCTTTTGGCTTTTGCTATCATCCTATTTCTCATCTATTTTCAGTAATTTTTTTTCCTATCAGGTGCTATAAGTTACTAGAAATAGAAAATGCTAAACTAAATGGAATGTAAACAAGAATTTAGATATGTGTGATTCATGCAATTCTGTGACTGCTTAAGCTTCATTTGTGAAGCCTTTGTGCTACGTTATACTACACGTTCTTTGTTGGAAAAGTTCTTTCTGTTTCAAAAAAGTTATGATGGACCAAACAATCAAGAACCTGCTTATCTGTTGTCCTTCAATTGAGTGTATTTTCCCATGGTTTGTGTAAATCACACGGCTTGACAAAAAATCCACGACGTGGCTTGAGTATGGTATAGGGTTGAAAAATATCATTGTCTTAGCTCATACCTTAGCAATTTGAAATCCACCATATAATGTTCTCTGCAATAGCTAGTGCTGAAAGGAAGATTGTCAAGTCTTCGTATTTGTGCACCTTTGCATGCAGATTGTAGTAGAACCTAAATATTTTAGTTCCATGAGATCTTTCTTGCTAGCTGCCAAGTACTCAACTGTTTCATTAACCTAAAGCAGTAACTCCGCAATTATTAATTTTTCTTCATGGATGCAGGTTTTTTCATATTTAATTTGCAGAGAAGATACGTGGGATTGTCTGGCAGTCTCTTTTATATCTCAGGTAAAGGTTCTGATATTTTATATAACTGATCCAGATTTTGCCAATGGCACCACCCATATGTAGTGCAAAGACTTAGCTCAACTGAGAATTATCTATCTTGTAGCTGTGCTGTAAGTTCTGCCGCTTTGTATTTGGTCACAAGAAAATGGTGAAAATAACAACTTGATTATTGGTTAATATAAAAAGGAGAATCCTCGTGTAAACTGCTTTCTTCTTCTCCTTTGTTGAAATAAGTGCTATGCTTTGTTGCCTTATTCTGTAGAATTTGATGTAGTTGCTTAGAAATGCTTGAGTAAACAAATCAATATTTGAATATTGTGTTAACCCTTGAAACCTAGCATTACAAATGTAATTTTGTTAACTCTTTTCTTGGCTGGTCTGGCAGGTTGTTCAAAACTGTCCGGAACATTTCCTTGAAATGGATGACTTTTCATATTTGATGATGGAGCTATGTTTAACATCTGTTTTCAAGTTCTTATTAAGGTAATAATACATCATAGTAATAGTATTGTGTGAGTAAATGGTTTGAAGATAATTGATACGCTTTCTGTTCAGCAGTAATGTGCATGCCCGACATCCCTCAAGCTTGGAAAAGAATATTTATATTGCACTAATCACTGCATCGACATTGTTGGAACGCTGTAAAGTTCAGGTAGATAAACAATTCAGTATGTTGAAGCAAAAGCCATTACAGTATTCTTGAATAGAAAAACTCTATATTTTTATAGGGCAATACACTGAAAGCCATGTCTTGCCTTAGGATTCTTTCATTTCTTACTAGCAACTTGTGTGATGCAGATGCAGCTAAAATTCTTCTTGCCTCTTCTCTTGATTGGTTACAAGTGCATTGGAGAATCATCGACCGACGTATCTCTATCAAGAGCTAACAGTTTTGTCCAGTCTATTTTTTCCCTAGTAAAGGGAGTTGGTAAGTACCTGATAGCGAGGTGTCGTGATGATTTCTTGAATTTCTGCGGTTTTCAGCATATTATAGTTTCTGATATATCTGCAAGTTTTAACAATCATATACATTATGACTTCTTGAGTGCAATTGTAAGTTGTAATTTACTTGACCTCTTTTACTAGCTACTGTTGTGCCAAATATGTTGATTTTACGTACTGGAAAATTACAAAACAATCCAGGCACACTTTTCAATTTGGAAATATGATACACAACTTTGCAACTTTTTGCGAATTGAGGCATGGAGTTAGGATTAGGTTTCAGTGATTGATGAATGATGTGGCCGACAAAATTTCATCAACATTGCTTGTACGACAAATGAACAAAAACAACAATTCAACTCATCTATTTCCACATCACAATATTCTTCCTCCCTTTGTTCTCCCCAATTGAAGATGTTACACCAATCGACGGTTCTGCAATCTATTAGAACACAACCCTCTTTCTTATTCTCCAATCTGACTCATTACATCAGACAGCGAATAGAAGTCCAACGACCACATCTGAAAGGTACCAAAAATCTGGAGCAAAAGTAGCGGCGGATCTAAGTCACACATGAAGCCGTGAGATCTATAGTTTGAGGCGGCATTTATA